GAAAAAAAAAATGCAACTTATTAGGAAAAAAATTTATGAGATTTAAAAGAAAATCTTGAAAAGTTCCCGAAAAATGCTTTTCTGGAAAATCAAAATTGCTAGCCGTGTGCAAACATGGCACAGACGTCTTCTCGACCCCCGGTATGCAGATGGGAACATACCTCGGAGAGCCTTGGGGGACATGCCTCGCTTGACGGCCTCGCACGGCCGCTCCGTCTTCTCAAAGCAGCGGCACCACTCGTCGGGGCTCACAAACACGTCCCTGGAAAACGACCCATCGTTAGCAAAGCGCGATACAGTCCTACACACGCACTAAAACCAAACACGAGATGGGGGCGCCTACAGGTCTGTGTCGCAGGAGTCCAGGAACGGCTTCATGCACTTCTCGCTTTGGTCGTGCTCGAGACCGTACAGCTCGTGAAGGGAGAGCCGCTGGTCAGCGTCACGGTCCAGGTGGCCGAACATCCAGCGCACCTCGGTCTGGCAGGCGCCGGGGAAGTTGGCTGAAAATAAAAAGAAGTTAAGTTTCAGCAGGTTGAGAATATGGAGGTCGTGAAACAACTCGACGCGAGGTGGTCAGTCCCTGTTTACGACTCGCAAGACTTACCTTTAGAGGAGGACCGCTGTCGGGGGCGGCGGCGGGTGGCGGCGTCGGCCATGACCACCGAGAACCAGTCCAGCATGCGATCGCCCATGCTCTGCAGCTGCGACGGGCTGCACTCGGCGGCGGCGGCGGCGGGGCCCCCGGTCACGGGCCGCTCCTCGGAGCTGGGCTTGCCCTCCAGCACCTCGTTGAAGACGCGCTGCTTGTCCTTGTCCTCGCCCTGCAACACCCGTCATCGAGCATCGTTAGGCGGCTTCCTTAGAGATCATCCATAAAGCGGGTCCTTCATTTTGCCGTTGCGAAACTGCCCAGTGCACACAAAGGAAGCTCTCGTAGCGCCTGACAGATAGGCAACTTCTCACATGCAGTGCATGCGTGTACTGCGGGCTGGCCTACCAGGGCCTACTCTGAGTCTCGCAGGCGCCGAGCTCCAGTAGTTCAGCGGGTGAATCTCAGTAAAACAGACGTATTTTCAGGACGATTCCATAAGAACTTTACAATCCGAAAGTTTTCCGGAAAAAAATAAGTTATTTGCAGAGAATTTGGAAAAACTTTTTATAAAAGTAATTGGGAGATTTTAAAAAAATAAAGTCCATTTTTT